CACTATGAAAAAACACTGTGATCTAAGGTCACAGTCGGTTGGGAAATGCCAGCTGAACAGAATCAGACAGATTTCTCCACTTTTCCTTGTAGAGCCCTCTTCACTATGCAGCCTTCTGCCCATCATTTCCTTCTAAGAGGGTTTCCCAAACTATAGGACCACAGAATCCTTGTCTCGTGTACTGTCTTGGACTGGAGTTCCACAAAACACACACTGGGAAAATCCTGCATCAGGGACTCTATTTCATAAAGCTGAACACGATGCAGAAAACCAAGGGAAAGCGGGGGGTGGGGATGGGGGGGCAGCAAACCCAATGGAGGAACCTCAGATCATGTCCATCTTGACTGCTGATGAAACTCTCTTTGAGTAGTTTCTTTCACTCCCTTGGCTCCCGGCAGCACCTGTTTCCCTGTAACTCTTTCCCAGTCCTCCCATAGAATGAACGGTACCTGGCCCACAGTTGATCCTTAGTAAATAGGTGTTAGATGAACACATGAGAGGATGGAACTAGAGTCTTTCAAACTCTTTTTAGTCACTAAATCCTACTAATGGAAGAGAGAGCAGGCTTTGAGCCCTTCTGTCTGTTATGAGTTTATCTGTACCAGTTACCATCTGTGCAAACTTCAGCAACTCAGTGCTTGGTGCCTTCATCCTCCCTCCCACCCCAAACAATTTATCAGCCTAGTTGGGGCACTTTGAAAATGAAGGGGACGCTGTTTTGTTTTTTTTTTTTTGTAATGCTGGGGATTAAACCCAGGGCCTTGTGCATGCAAGGCAAGCACTCTACCAACTGAGCAACATCCCCAGCCCCAGACACTGTTAATAATCATGCTGAGAGAATAGGTATAAACCATGTCAGTCCCAGGTAAATCGAGATGGATAGTGGCCTAAGATTTCAGTGAGGTAGCTCAGGTACCTGATGGGGAGCAAACATTCCAAATATTTTAGTTCTTACTGTGTTGTCCTTGGGGTGGGTAGTAGGTAGAAGGCCAGTATATACACAGGCTCAAGGCAGAGCTGCTTGGCCTGAGGAAGCTGGTGGCTGCTCAGCAGTCCCCCTCCGTGCTGCTTGTGTGCATCAGAAGCCCCACAGCCTCTAAGAACTTTGCAGTGCAGTTTGAAAATCACCAAGGTTCCTTCCAGGTCTTTGAACCATGATTTATGAGTCCCTAACCTGTTGTCCCTCTCTCCAGTATCACTAGGACCCTAAATGATCCCACCCGCCATGTAGAGCCACCTCATCCTGGTCCCAAACCTGCCCTTGGCCCCTTGACTGCGCTAGGATTCAGAATGGATCCACTGCCCCCCTGTGCAGTATGGGCTGTGACTCTTTCCCTGTCTTCCATCACTGATGGTGTGCATCTCACATGCACGGGGATAGATGTGGACCCTTTACATTTCCTGGAGAAGGGAGAGCTCCTGCCACTTGATTGATGGAGACACTGAGGCAGTGTGGCAGAATGAACTGCCCAAAACGGCACAGCAGCTGGGGTGGGGTCTTCTTCCGGGGACTCTCCTCCCAGCCCTGGTCCCAAAGAGGGGAAGTAAACCCAGATGGCAGCAATACAGAGAAAACTGGGTAGACCATTTGTCCAGCCTAGGTGGGCTAAGTGCCCCGGGAAGGGGCTCAGGGTAGGAGAAGGGAGATGACTGAGAGTTGTGTGTGTGTGTGTGTGTGTGTGTGTGTGTGTGTGGCTGGCCTCAGTCTGGGGAGAGCTAGTGACCTAGGGGATTAGGGGCCTGAGGGCTTGGCACTGGTGGGATTAAAAATCCTGTGGAAGGGAAGGTCTTTTCAAGGCCGAGGCAGGTGGGTGGGGGGTGTGGGAGGGCCAGCTTCTTGCCTCCTTCCTTTCTCCTCCCTTTGCCTCTCCCATCCTCCATTCCGGTTGAATGTGGACTTGCCCCCTCACCCATCTCAGGCCCTATTCAGGAGGCCCCCGTGCCATTCACAGCCCATGTTCCTCCAGCTGCCCAGACCACACCACCAGGCTGCCTTGAACCCACCCAGCCCCAGCCTCATCCCCAGAGCGCCCCACTGCCAATGCGGGTAAATCCGGGGCACAGAGTACTCGAGGGAGGGGGGCATCTCAGGAGCCTCGGCACATTATTAACGTTTACAGGACTAGTTTCCCGAAAGCTCAGAACCATGCTGCTAGTATGATCTCCCCCACTTTAGAGGCCTGAAGGAGGCCAGCGGGTGCGACGTGCCCAGAGAGGGTCTGCCACACCTCCTGGCAGAGAGGTGTCCCCTTGTTTGAATGAGGCAGGTGAAGCTGGTGTCACAGCCCCCGGACCCTGGCAAGCTGAGCCCTATTTGCTTCAGCTCAGTCACAGATGGGGCAGCCGAGGCGCCAGCTGTTTACCCTGAGTTATACCAACCCTCACTAGTGGCCAAGACAAAAATAGGATTTTGCCATGTCCCTTGCTGCCCCCCAGCAGGGGCGCAGGCTCCTTTAGAAGCTCCCTGCTTCCTTCTGGGGTGCTGGACCTACCTCTCTCCTGCCTTCTGGGCATGCACTCTCCCCCTGGTTCACTCTCTTTCTCTCTTTGTCATCTTCGCTCTGTCTCTGACCCCATGTCCCCTGCCCGTCTCTGCCCTTGCCCTCATCTGCCCAGGTGTTGGATGTGGTTGAAAGATATCCTGTGTGCATTCAGGGAGCTCAGGAGCTGGCCCCATCCCTGCCTCTCCCTCCCCCTCAGTCAGTGTCTGGAATCCCTGAGGCTTCAGTATCAGGGTAGCAGTGACCCCCCATTGTCTGGCCTGTCTGGCCCTGGCATGAAAGGTGGAGTTTTGGCAGAGAATGGAGGCTCGGCCCGATTCCAGCTCATTCTCCGCAGTGTGGAGCCTGTAATGTGCTTGGGGCAGGGTGGGCAGGCCGGGGTGGGGGCTGGGGGTGGAGGAGCTACAGGGCAGCCCCTGTCACTAGGACAACAGCAGGGAGCCCTGGAGGGGGAGGCTGAGGAGGAGAGCAGGTGGCTCTTTGTCTGGTGCTGATCCCAGCCCCCTACCCCAGAGCCCTCCCAGGCCTTCCAGGAGGCCCCTGGGAGGGGATTGGTGTCCCTGCTCCCAGAAGATGCAAAACCATTGGGCTTCCTCCCCGGCTGCGGGCCAGAGAGGCTTCACACCGTGTGGCAGACCACTGTGCCCTACAGTGTCCACTGGGGGTCTCCCAGGACCTGTACCCCACCCCTGCCACCCATCTGCCCTCCCGCATTGAGGCCCATATGGGACCAGGTGAGGCAGGCGAGTGCTTTCCCATGATAATTGGAGTTAGCACAGGTGGCTTCCAGGGATGGAAGGGGTTGCTGGCACCCATTGCCATGTTCCTTCTCTAGGCTCACTTTCTGCCTCTGAGTGATAAGGAGGCCAGAACTGTTGCTGTCTGGGGGCTCTTTTCTGCTTTAAATATCTCTGTTTAAGGTAGGAGTGTGAGAATTCTGGAGCCCCCGCCTTTTATGAAGTTCCTGACCATGACTCCTGACCGTTGCTCTGGATTGTCTAGAAATACAGCACAAAGAATCTGCTTCCCCAAAGTCACTTTCCTTCACCTCATCCAGAGACGTGGGAAATGTGGCTCTGGCCTTCTTAGGTTCCCTTGTCCTGTACGCACATATATCCCCAATGTCTGTTGCCTTTTATTATTTTTATTTTTAATTTTTTTTTGTAGTATTGGGGCTTGCCTACCAGGGTCTTGTGAATGGTAGGCAAGCTCCCCACCACTGAGCTACAGCTCAGTCCCTCTATTGCCTTTTCTGTGTGTGTGTGTGGTGCTGGGGATGGAACCCAGGGCCTTGTGCATGTGAGGCAAGCACTCTACCAACTGAGCTATAGCCCCAGCACCCCCTCCATTGCCTTTTAAAGCCTAAGCAACCCACAGCAGCATCTTCAGGGATGCCCCCAGAGACCTATGGAGAAGCCCTCTGCAAACAGGAATACCCTCAGCACCCAGGAGAGATGACAGACACGGAGTAGTGTGGAGTGTCATTTCCTAGCAGGGAGCATGTGGGGATTGGCATCCAGTGGGCTGTGTGGGCAAGGAAGGGCAGACAGGTTAAGAGCGTCTCTGGGACAGATGAATATGATCCTGCTTTTTCTAAATGAATCCACGAGAGGTGTTTCCTGGAAAATTAGCGCCTGTCTGTTCATTTGAACATCCCCCGCCTGTTCATCCGGCAAATCTTGATTGAGTGCCCGAAGCACAGGCTCTGTGTGCTAAGTACCTGGGACAAGTCGTGATGCCAGCCTTTAGGGAATTCTCAGGCCGGCTAGGAGGTGAAGGTGGTCAGAGAGCAGTGTGAGCCGGAGGGAGGCCCAGAGCCTGTCCAGAGTGTAGGGGAGCAGCCAGGACGGGCTGTGCCCCAGGAGAGCCTTCCAGAGAAGAGGATATGGGAATAGTTGGGAAGAGAGTCTGAGCCTCCCAGGGAGATGAGGGAGGGCAGGAATCCTAGATGGAGGGACCCAGGTGTGCAAAGCAGCAGAGGATAAAAGAGATTGATGTTAAACACACTGTAGTTTGTAGGCAAAAACTACAGAGCCCAGCACCTCTGGAGGGGGGGTGCCAGTCCTGCGGGTGTGGGTGTGTGAGTGGGTCCTGGGAGGGGCTGGCAGCAAGGTGGGGAAGGGCTTGCCAGGCTGTGCTTCCTGTGCCCCCCCACCCTGCACCTGTCCCCAGGAAGGTCTTCCCTGGGACACCTCCTCCCACCCTCCTCCCTGCCCTAGGCCCAGCGGCTCCTTCTCTTCTCTACTCAATGCCGTTTCATTCCTGCCTTCCACCAACATCTGCTGGGCTGAGGGGAGCCCAGTTTCCTTGTCCTCTGAGAGGGTTGGATTGGGTGATCCTGAAGGGGGCCATAGGGACATCCTGGACACCACCTGGGCCTCCACTGGCAGAGGGCTGGTGACAGGAGCCTGTGAGTGGTTGTGGGAATCTGAGTCCCCACGTGAGTCCCAGGAGGGGGTGGTGTCCTGCTGAGCCCTCTGCTGTATGCTTCTCCCCTAGTTTGACCCCGGGAACACAGGCTACATCAGCACAGGCAAGTTCCGGAGCCTTCTAGAGAGCCACAGCTCCAAGCTGGACCCGCACAAAAGGGAGGTACTCCTGGCCCTTGCCGACAGCCATGCGGACGGGCAGATCTGCTACCAGGATTTTGTCAACCTGGTGAGTGCTCTGGGGCCCTCACCACTGGGCAGGGCCTGTTTGGGGATTGTGACTTAGATACATGAAAGAGATTCAGACAAGGGGATCTGTTGACTCACAGTATTTTTAAAAAGCCCAGGCTTCAGCAAACAAAAGGGTACCATTAGGGACCAGGTAGATAGGTCTCTGGCTTTTGGTTCTGGTTTCTGCAAATAGCAGCTCCTCCTCAAAGCAGCTCCTGTCCGTTCTAGAACCTCCCATTGTGACAGCGAAGTAGCTGCAGCTGTTCCAGCCCTTACATACATAACCCCCAGGCCATACCTTACAGTCTCTTCTTGTGGTAGCTCATGCACAAGTCCTGGGTTTCCTCCCTTCCACTGACCTAGATTGTGTCAGTAGATTTATCGATTGACTCAAACCAATCAGTGTCTGTCCCTAGAGCTAGGAGTGGGATCACTTCCGCCAAAATGAAGTCTAGGAGTTGGGTGGTTATTGCTGGCAGGAGAAGAAGCTAAGGAGTAGATGCTTAGGAGGTCAGACCAGTCCTCCCTGGAAGATAGCAGCTGAGCAACTTGGCCCGGCCGGCAGATGCCAAGGGGAAAGAGATGGACGTCTCATACGTCCAGCCCTATGGTCGGGCATCTTGGAGCAGAGACTTCCTCCTTACTGAGAGTAAATGCTGTGCTACTTGGGGGTTACTGTGGTGGGTTGGAATGGGGGTCAGTGGGGTTAAGCAGGCAGCTTTTTGCCCACCACTGGGTGAACGGGACATCAGGAGAAGCCGCGCGAACTCGTGAGATGAGTACAAGACTAGTCTTTGGTTTCCCAGCTGTGGAGGGGGCAGGGGTGGGGTGACTCCCATGAAGTTCCCCAGGCCCCTGGAGCTCCAAGGTATCATGTGGGGCACCCGTACCCCACACCTGCCATCACACCTGCCATCACACCTGCCATCACGCCAGCCATCACGCCACGGAGACCTCTGTGATGTGGGTACCCAGTGGTTGCTCTCACAGCCTCCTGGCCGAGCGGCTGGCCATGTCCCTGGGGCCAGTGCGTTTAACAGCTGCCACAGGGAGCTGCACAGAGGCCTTGTAGGCAGAGAGGACTCTCCTGCTGTTCAGAGAAACCCAGGGAGCAGAGCTCCTGGAAAGCCTGGGGTAGAACTGAGCCGGAGCTGGGAATGTGGGGATACTCAGGACTTATGGGGTGGACAACAGAGGTGAGTCCTGTGACTTGGAGCCCAGCATTGTCACCAAAGACTGTGCCATGGGATTGAGCCTGCACAGCCCCAGTGCCAGCATGTGTGCTGCCACAAGATACCTGCCCAGTCCCACAGGAGTACCTCCCTTTTGTGGAGGCTGAGGCAGGAGGATCTCCATGATCAAGTCCAGCTCAGCAACTTAGTAAGGCCCTGTCTCAAAATAATAATAATAAATAAAAAAGGGCTGGGGATGTGACAACTGCTACAAGAGTGGTAAAGTGCCCCTGGGATCAATCCCCAGTAACAAAAAAAAAGACAACTGCCCAGTTTCAGGGCAGAGTGAGGGCTTGCTGAGCCAGAGAGAAGCTTCTCCATCCCAGAGGCCTCTGTGTGAGCTCACAGCAAGTAACTTGTTACTGTTAAGATTTCTGTGTTGGGGCTGGGGATGTGGCTCAAGCGGTAGTGCGCTCGCCTGGCATGCGTGCGGCCCGGGTTCGATCCTCAGCACCACATACAAACAAAGATGTTGTGTCAGCCAAGAACTGAAAAAATAAATATTAAAAAAAAAAAAAAAAGATTTCTGTGTTGAAGTTCTGAGCTGGAGCAGCCAACCATAGCCTGGAGTCATGTGGGTGGTGCTGCCCTGTCTTCAGGGTCTCACCAGGGGGACCCTCTGGGGAGGGCAAAGAACTCGCATCCTGGAGGGAGGCCGATGTGGGCCCTGGTTCTCACTCCACCTTTGCCACTCACTGGGAAAGATTCCCTGGCCTCCGTTTTCCCATTTGTACAATAAACCCAAAGATTCAGGGTTATTGCAAGGATCAAGTATGATAAAGGACTACATTTGGAAGTTTTTGTCGTATCTTAATACTCTTCCTCCACGTAGTCTGCTTTGTATCTTTTGTGAGCCTCCACCAGTCCCAACCTAAGCAGAATGAATCAGCCTTATCCAGAGCTTCAATAGCGAGTTTCCCAGGCCCCTCTCATGACACGGAACACATTGCATGCAGCTGAGCAGACTGGAGTGTCGTGTAGGGGTGTGCAGGTTGTGGACTACACAGGATGCCTGCCTGAGGAATGAATGGGGGACTGAAATCTTGGCCTGAACTTTCCTCACTAAGGCCTGGAGGAAGAGGCTTCTTTAATTGGCATAAAAGCTCCATGTAGGATACTCGGCCCCTGGAGTCAGGCAGGTCTGGATTTGAATCCTGACTCTGATGTACTATGGATCAGTTCAATTTCTCACCCTAAGCTTCAGTCCCCATTTTCATGATGTGGCCATGCTAACATGCACCCAGTAACTAAGAGCACCCCGTCTTCTGCTGCCATTCACCCTTCCCTCCCTCGTAAACTCCGGGAGGCCTGAGACTCTGGTAATGACTGTGCCCAGCACAGCTTTAGACGTGAGGCGGACACAGCTGCGTGGTAAGTGCCTACGGATCCTGCTTCTCCTGGGCTTGTCCTGAGCTTCTCCCTCCTCCCGACCATCCCTTGGCCATTGGCTGCCTGTGTGTGTGTGTGTGTGTGTGTGTGTGTGTACACACATGCTGTGCATGCCTGCATACCTGGAACTCCCGAGCCTCCGAGCCTCCGAGAAGCAGCCCATCCCAGCTTGGTAGGCTTGGAGGGGACAGGAATTGGACTAGCTGGAGGGGTTCAGCTGTCATGGCCTGCTGCAGAGCGGAGGCTGGAAGCCAGACACTGGAGGCGAGAGACAGAGGGCTCAGAAGTGAGAAGGGGGCTCTGCAGAGGAGACTCCCACCACCTGGCCTGGTCTGAACCCAGATCCTCCCAGCTGTCCTCCTCTGACAAAGGCGCCGATCCCTGTGTCTTGCTCCGACCTGGTTCTCCTTGGCAGCTCTGCCCAGCTCCTTCCTTTAGGCCCAGCCCGATGTCCGCTGCTGGCCCATGGCCCCAGGAATACATTGCTAATCCCCTCACTAGTTGGGTTCTGGGGATGGAAGAGCTGTGTCCGTAGGGTTTCTCCCCATGGGAAGGGTCTAGAGTGTGTCCCTGGAGTGTAGGGGAGAGGCTGCAGAGGCTTCTGGAGGCTGGAAGTCGGCAAGGCCACCTCTGGTCTCTGCGAGTCAGGATGACCTCTGCGGGAGGCAGCCAGAACTCTATGGGGGATGTGTCTGGGCTGCTGAGGATAGGGCCTGGCCTCTGTCTGGGCTCCACCCCGACCCTGGGCTCCATGGGCACTGCAGATAGCAGATAGGGCTGCTTGTCCCTTCCTTTCTGCTGTGTCTGAGGACTCTGCTTCCTACTTATTCTTTCTTTCTCAGCGGATGTCACCTTTGCAGGGAAGCCCAGGCTGACCACCTCAGGACAAGTTGGGCTCCCTCTTGTGTGCTCTCATGGCCGCTGTCTTGCTGGTGACTTCTTTGTCCTGAGCACCATTGTACCCACCCTTTGCCCCTGGGTCTGGCAATGTGCCTGGCACTTGCTCAGCAAATTGTGATAGATGGATGATGAAGGAGTGAATGGAAAGAAGGTAAAAGTGAAATCAGATACAGGCTCTGGATTTGAACTTGGTGGGTTCCTGAAACACTCTGTGCCTTAGTTTTCTATCTGGTAGAGCAGGAGTGTTCCTAGTCCTCATCTCACAGTTGTATCAAATGGGCCAAAACATGTAAAGTGCTTAGAATAGCCCCCCAAACATAATCAGAGGCCAGTGAGTGTTGCTTCATATGTGGTGCTGAGAATTGAACCCAGTACCTCACACATGCTAGGCAAGCGCTCTACCACTGAGCCACAACCACAGCCCCCTAATCAACTCTTTTTTTTTTTTTGGTACCAGGAATTGAACCCAGGGGCGCTGCTTAACCACTGAGCCACATCCCCAGCTCTTTTTTTATTTTCTTTTAAGACAAATTTCGCTAAGTTGCTTAGGGCCTTGCTAAGTTGCTGAGGCTGGCTTTGAACTTGTGATCTCCTGCCTCAGCCTCCTGAGTTGCATGGATTACAGACATGTGCCCGGCTCTAATCGACTCTTATAAAAAGAAAATGAAATGTGGAGTTGGGCCTGGTTTAAGGTACATGGTTACAGGGATACCGTTGGGCGGGGGGGTTCCCGGAGGTCCCAGCTCTGACCCTCTCCCCACCCTGTTTCCTGCACAGATGGGCAACAAGCGTTCCAACAGCTTCCGCCAGGCCATTTTGCAGGGCAACCGCAGGCTCAGCAGCAAGGCCCTGCTGGACGAGAAGGGGCTGAGCCTCTCACAGCGGCTGATCCGCCACGTGGCCTATGAGACCCTACCCCGGGAGATTGACCGCAAGTGGTACTACGACAGCTACACCTGCTGCCCCCCACCCTGGTTCATGATCACAGTCACCCTGCTGGAGGCAAGGACAAGGGTGGGGAAGGGGCTGCCCAGCCTTGGGAGAGCAGGGGAGGTGGGGATGAGAGGAGAGGAGCCAAGAGGATTCAGAGATCATGAAGGGGAGGAGGCACACCCCTCCAGCGAAGGATGAAGGTGGACTACAAAGATGTTCCAAAGGTTATCACTTCAAGCCATTTAAAAAAAAATGTTTAATTGTCGTTGAACCTTTATTTAATTTATTTATTTATATGCGGTGCTGAGAATTGAACCCTGTGCTTCCCACATGCCAGGCAAACGCTCTACCACTGAGCCACAACCGCAGCCCTTCAAGTAATTTTTGCTGTAGCCAAGTCCCCAGATGGCCACCCCTGCCAAAACAACGGGCAACAGAAACCGTGCGATTAGTTCATTGATTTGGTACATGGTTGCAGGGACACCAGTGTGGGGGTTTCCCCTGAGGCCCCTGAGTCAGCCAGGCAAACTCAGTCGAGTCCATTTATTTTAGTTCCTCCCCGATGGGCAAGGTGGACCAGTCATTGGCTCCCCTGGGACTCCATGTCCCACCTGTAAAGCGGGAGTAACCACACCCGCCCACCGGCCTGTAGGAAGGATGCCTCTTTCAAGTGAAAGAAGGACTGGGGTGTTTTCTGAACACAAAAGCATCACACAAATACCTCTGGGAAGGAGTATTTGTGAACAAGTAAACGTGGGCTAAACATATTTTTAAAGAACATTCTCCCCTAAGAGAATCAGCCATACCTATTGTTATGCAAAAAAAAAATCTGCTTAGGCAACAGAGTTGGGAGATACTTTGTGCACCACGGAGCTCAGCTCTCATGGCTGTTCAACCCTGGCACTACTAAGCCCCCCTGCCCACCTCCAGTTCCTGATGAGTGCTTGACTTCCCTTTGATATTGCATGATCTCGCCGCGCTGTTCCTTTCCCGAAGCCTTGGGCCCGGTCATCGCCTCTGCGTCTGTCCTTGCAGAGTTCCTGCCTCATCAGATGGCAGGATGGCTCAGCTCCGTGGCATATTTCTTCTTCATCTTTTTGGTCAATCAGTCTGCTCTGTGGTTCAGAGCTCCTGTTTGTTGTTACGGCTTCCTCCAAGTACATATTGAAGTTGCAGGGTTTTTTTTTTTTTTTCCCTGAGATATTCTTGGACTCGTTCTTCCAGCGCTGACTGTATTGGTCTATTTATTAACTGCTATTTGAGGACCAATAATAATGAGATGCCTTGGAAGCTGTATTTGCTGCCAGGCCACCCGCATGGTGTGAGGTGGACGGAACAGCTTCTCAGAGAGCCCCGAGGAACACAGCTGCCAGCGCCTAAGCCATGCCCAGGCTGAGCCCAGCAGGTCTTAACCTGACACTAATTATAGCTTCCTTCTCTGAGTGTGTGCCAGGCACGAGGCTGGTTCCTTGTGTGCTTTATTACTTTTATTTTGGGTACTGGGGATTGAACCCAGGGGTGCTTTACCACTGAGCTATGTCCCCAGACCTTTTTATTATTTAGTTTAAGACAGGGTCTTGCTCAGTTACATAGGGCTTTATTAAATTGCTGAGGCTGACCTCAAACCTGGTGATCCTCCTGCCTCAGCCTCCTCAATCACTGGGATTACCAGTACTTTATCACTTTTAAACTTCATGACCATGCTGGAAATCTAGGTACCCATATCCAGATAAGGAAACCAAGACTAGAGAATTCAGATAATTTGCCCAAGTTGGTCCAGAGGGGTCAGATGTATCCAAAATTGGCTCAGATTTCCAGACACCTCAGCTACATGAACTTGAACTGCTAATTCAGAAGAAACCGGAAAATGCTCAAACAGCTGAAATAAACTGTCTCAGAGCCCTTCATGGGAAAGCCGAAGCCTTTTGTTTTACATACAGTTCTAGTAACCTGATTCTCTAATTCCATAATAGGTAGAAAATAGAACACAGAGGGGGGTGGTGTGCTACTACATAGGGGCCCAATGCTAGCAAGCAGTAAGAAGTTAACAGCTGGCAATCTGGCAGTGAGAGAAACAACAGAAGAGAAGGAAATTGAAAACTAGACCTGAGCCAGTGTGGTGTGCATGCCTGTAATCCCAGTGCCTCAGGAGGCTGAGGCAGGAGGATTTTGAGTTCAAAGTGAGCCTCAGCAACTTAGTGAGGACTTAGGCAACTCAGACGCTGTCTCAAAATTTAAAAAAAGGGCTAGGGATGTGGTTCAGTGGTTAATCCCCACTGGGTTCAATCCTCAGTACCAAATAGATAAATAAATAAATAAAGCCAGGTGCGGTGGCGCAAACCCATAATCCTAGTGTCTCAGGAGGCTGAGACAGGAGGATCACAAGTTCAAAGCCAGCCTCAGCAAAACCAAGCTGTTAGGCAACTCAGTGAGACCCTGTCTCTAAATAAAATACAAAATAGGGCTGGGGATGTGGCTCAGTGGTTGAGTGCCCCTGAGTTCAAACCCCAGTACCTCCCCCTACAATAAATAAAATAAAATAAATAAATATTTAAAAAATAAAAAGCAGACCCAAGTCTTAAAGAATTTGGGACCATTTAGTATAGGAGTGAAAACACCGTCTCCTTTGATGGCTGGACAAGAGGTCACTGTCTCAGCCCATATCAGAACCTGAAACATCCTTAAAATGGTATTCATATGGTCTAAGAACACAGGGACACAAATGGTACATTTTAAAAAGAGTTTCAGGAAAAAAATAATAAGTCAAAATAAATACCCTTTTAGGGCTTAAATAAGTACATTTTTGTCATGTGCAGAATCAACTTACAAAGACAGTTGGTGAAGATGTGGAGAATCTAGAACCCTTGTGCACTGATGGTAGCAGTATAAAATAGTGCAGCCGCTGTGGAAAATACTCTGGTATTTATTTGAAAAATTAAACACGATGCAGCAATTCCACTTCTGAGTGTATACCAAATGAATCAAAAGCAGGGACAAGAAGAGGTATTTGTATGCCCATGGCCATAGAACAGTATGCACAACAGCTCAAATGTGGAGGCCTCCCAGACATCCATGGATAGATGAATGGATAAACAGAATGTGGTAGATCCATACAATGGAGTATTATTTAGCCTTTAAGAGGAAGGACATTCTGACACGTGTCACAACATGGGTGAACTTGAAAACATCATGCTCAGTCAAATAAGCCCATCCCAGAAGGAGAAGGACTTGTGATTCTATTCTATATATATGAGACAGTTAGGGTAGTCACGCTCATGGAGACAGAAAGTGGAATGGTGGTTGTCCAAGGCTGGAGTGAGGGGAATGGGGAATTGGTGTTTAGTGGTTGTAGAGTTTCAGGTTTGCAAGATGAAAGGAGTTCTGTGGATGGGTGGTGGTGACAGTAGCACATGTGAATGTACTTAATGCTACCAAACTGAGCACTGAAAAACTGGTTAAGATGGTAAATAGATGGTAGATTATATGTGGATTTCACCACAATTTTTTTTTTTTTTTTTTTTTTTTTTTTGTGGTACTGGGCAAGCACTCTACCACTGAGCTGCATCCCCAGTCCCTACAATACTACATGGAATGGGTGAGTGAATGATTACTAGAATTACAGTTAAAATCCTCCAAATCTGCCTGTGTAGGAATTGTGGACAAAGACACCACGTGACTATGTTAGGAGCATTGAACACAAAAAGATCAACCAGAAGTAGGTTGAGGCCTGGCTGGCCATTGAGCGGGGTGCTGGCTGTGAGGTGTCTTTCCTTCTCTGAGGAAGGAACCCCTGGCGTGGTTCCCAGTGTCCATCAGCACACGGATGGGTCCTGGGCAGTCCCATTCCTAGTGACAGGTCCTTTCTATTCTGTGCTTCATCCAGGTTGCCTTCTTCATCTACAATGGAGTATCACTGAATCAATTTGTGCTGCAGGTGACCCATCCTCGTTACCTGAAGAACTCCCTGGTCTACCACCCCCGGCTCCGAGCACAGGCTTGGCGCTACCTGACATACATCTTCATGCATGCAGGGTGAGCTCCTGTCTTCCTATTTTCCCTAAAGGGAAATAGTGGTCCAAACACTGGGGTTGAAAATTGTACACACACACACACACACACATACACACACACACAATTTGGCAGTACTGGGGATCAAACCCAGGACTTTGAACAGGCTAGGCAAGTGCTCTACCACTGAGCTACATCCCCTGAGGCCCTGAAATTGATTTTTTAGTTTATTTTTATCCACTTGGATACAGGATTTGAGATGGCTGCTTGAAGCTTATCTAATACCAAAATGCACAGGTCAGTTATTGAGAGAGTGTGGGAAAGGGAAAACAGGGGAACGCTAAAAAGCCAGAGGAGAGATTAGCACAGACTCGCATAGCACACAAGTCTGTGTGTTTGCTAGAGGTAGGTTGAAAGTTTGTCCTGGGCTCCTGGTAGCCAAAGCAAGGAGGGACATGGGATCAGCTGCCAGGCTCATGTATGTGTTAGTGTCCCCATTAGTGAAATAAAGGAATAATTTATTAGAATCACCTTCTTCCCAAAGTGGTCTCCAGGTGTGGTGAGGAACTTTGGAAATATTCATAATTTCTGTTAACAGAGCCCCATGGCCTCTTTTGGGGCTATAGTGCAATCATTTCTCATTGGCACTTTTTTTAAAAAATTTATTTATTTATTTTAGTTTTCGGCAGACACAACATCTTTGTTTGTATGTGGTGCTGAGGATCGAACCCGGGCCTTAGGCATGCCAGGCAAGCGCGCTACCGCTTGAGCCACATCCCCAACCCCTCTCATTGGCACTTTTTAAAAAAATATGTATTTTTTAGTTGTAGTTGGACACAATACCTTTATTTTATTTATTTTTATGTGGTGCTGAGGATCAAACCCAGTGCCTCACACGTGCTAGGCAAGCGCTCTATCACTGAGCTACAACCCCAGCCTTCATTGGCATTTTTTAAAATACCTTTATTTTATTTATTCATTCTATTTTTTTTTCTTTTTAGGTACTGGGGATTGAACTCAGGGGCACTGAACCACTGAGCCACACCCCCAGCCCTATTTTGTATTTTATTTAGAGACAGGATCTCACTGAGTTGCTTAGCACCTTGCCATTTCTGAGGCTGGCTTTGAACTTGTGATCCTTCTGCCTCGGCCTCCAGAGCCGCTGGGATTACTGGTGTGTGCCACCGCGCCCGGCTATTTATTCATTTTTTATGTGGTGCTGAGGATGGAACCTAGCACCACCCAATGCTAGGTAAGCGTGGTGGCACTGAGCCCCAGCCCCAGCCCCTCTCACTGGCACTTCTTACCATAGGATAAGGACTCACGAGCAGTTCAGGTGACCACCCAGGTCCAAATGCCAGAACGGCAGCAATCTTGGCCAGAGAATGTTCTTAGGGTAGAAGCCCCAAGTTGGGAAAACAGAGACCCCCGGGCACCAGCCTTGGTGGGGTCTCCTGCAGCCCCTCCCATGTAGTGAAGGAGCTCACTCCTAGCCGGGAAAATGCCTAGGGATGCCTGAGTTAGGGGGGAAATGGAAAGATCCCCCAAGCCCTACATCCCTCCATAGCAGGAACAAGAGCCCACCCCTAGCTGCTGCCTCGGCTGGAGAGGTTGCTCTAGGGTGAGGAATACCTCAGTGTAATTGCTGAGGCATGTCACCATTCTCAGCCAAGAAGGACCATTGGTTGAGGCTGTTCCCCTGCCAGTCCTGCCCTGCACGGGGCTGAGGAGCAGAGGGAGGGGGTATCATGCTTCAGCTTCTCATGAATCAAGCTCCAGAGACCACAGAAACTGGGGTTTTCCTGCTTGGGCTCCCCAAGCCTGTGGCTGCACGTGGGGTGGGACTGACGACAAGCTTTATTTTCAGGGCTGCCCTCTGACCTTTCCTGGCCCCACAGAATGAGGGAGAAGAAAAGCCAATGCCTCCAAAGCCACCTCTCCCCTTTTCTTTGCCTCCTGATGCTAAGAGCAGTGTCCTACGGCAGACAGGGCACAGATGTCCTCCACTGGGGCGCCCAGGGTGGCCTTGGGCCTTTTGCCAACAGTTGCTTCTCAGGAGGCCTTGCCTGCCAAGGGAGAGCCTGTGAGGGGATTCTCCAAGTCTGTGGGTTTTGAGGAAAGGGCTCTTGGTGTGGGTATAGTAGACAAGAGATAGGAACAGCTGGTCAGTACTTAGGGAGGTCCCAGCAAGGTGACCTATTATTGAGAGACCCTGTGAGCCTAGGAATCCAAAAGTCATCATGTGGAGAAGAAAGAGTAGGAGCCCCGGGTTTTCCTTACCTGGCCTCTTCTAGTCTCAAGTTCTTAGACTGTGAAATGAGGGCCCCAGAAAATCTCTCAGCTTAGTGACTGTGACCCTGTCACCAGCCTCTTTCCAGTGAGTTTTCCTGGTATTTCTCATCTCCACAAAATCTTTGCTAGCCCAGTCCCGTAGTGCCCTCCTGAATAACCAGGTGCCCATGTGTGTCCTCCATGTAGCCCAGGCAGGGCTCTGCAGACCAGGAGCAGGGCTGTGACCAGGGCCAGGGCCCAGCCTCCTTGTTACGGACTGTTACACCATAACTGGAACCGTCCCTGGGGAGCTGTCCATGTGCTGTAGGCTCAGTTTAAATGAGATAATGGATGTTAAAATGCTTTGTAAACTTGAAAGCCGCGCATTGATTTAATAATAGTAATGTTACGATCTTTTCTGGTAATACATGGACTTGGCTAGACACCCTATGCTTTTGGCGACATGATCTGGCCCCAGATGAGTAGGAGTGTGCAATGAAAGGTATTCACAGAGTAAGGAAGCTTGGGGTCTCTCTCCCCTCAAAAGATAAAACTCCCTGGAGAATGTCAGAGTGGAAGGTCCCTTTTTACACGAGGAAGAAACCTCCTCCACAGGTCATTTTCTTCTCTGGGGTTTGTTTGTTTTTGCCTATAGTGGAGATTGAACCCTGGGGTGTTCTGCCACTAAGCTTCATTCCCAGCACTATTTATTTATTCATTTAGGTACCAGAACTGAACCTGGGACGCTTAACCACTGAGCCACATCCTGAGCCCTTTTTTTAAATTTTGAGACAGGGTCTCCCTAAGTTGCTCAGGGCCTCGCTATGTTGGTGAGACTGGCTTCGAACTCACAGCTCTGCCTCAGTCTTACAAGTTCCTGGGATTATGGGCATATGTCACCGTGCCTGGCTCAATATTTAATTTAATTTTATTTTTTGGGGGGAGGGTACCAGGGATTGAACTTGGGGGCACTCAACCACTGAACCACATCCCCAGTCCTTTTAAAGTCAGGGTCTCACTGAGTTGCTTGGTGCCTTGCTAAGTTGCTAAGACTGCCTTTGAACTAACTCATGATCCTCCTGCCTCAGTTTCCCGGGTTGATGGAATTACAGGTGTATAATACCACACCCAACTCGATTTTTAAATATTTTTTTAAGTAACTTTTTTTTTTTTTAAGAGAGAGTGAGAGAGAGAGAGAGAATTTTTTAATATTTATTTTTTAGCTTTCAGCGGACACAACATCTTTGTTTGTATGTGGTGCTGAGGATCGAACCTGGGCTGCATGCATGCCAGGTGAGCGCGCTACCGCTTGAGCCACATTCCCAGCCCTCGATTTTTTAACTTTTGAGACAGGGTCTTGCTGTGTTGCCTAGGCTGGCCTTGAACTTGAGATCTTCCTGCCTTAGCTTCCCAAGTAGCTGAGATTACAGGTGGGTGACACCAATCCCAGCTCCCCTATGAGACTTCAAAGGAAAGATTTAAATTACTAAATTACAGGAGATCTCTTTAATACTTGCACTTATTTTGAGACCATCTTTCTCTTTCAATATCAGTAGTTCTTGTGTATAACAAGTTAGAACAAATAAATAAATAAAATTTTAAAAATATAATAGAGAAGGACTGAGGATGTGGCTCAGTGGCAGAGCGCTTAGTAAGCATGTGAGGGGCCCTGTGTTCAATCTCAGTACTACACACACAAATACGAGAGAAAGTCAGAGTGACCACAGGGCCTGGTGAATGAAGGGGAGCAGTCAGGTAGGTTGGAGACCTAGCCACTAACTAGCCGTCTAAGGCAGTTACTGCCTTCTCTGAGCTGTGGCTTATGCATGGACCCATGGAGCTGCTAGATGTGGTTAGTCCCTCTCATGGTGGCAGGTGCAGATACTGCCAGTCACCACCTTGTCCATGTGCTTCTGTCCACTGGAAGGGCTACTCTTTCCAAGATGGTCTGTCTGCATTGTCATTCCTCCTCCCAGATCATGAGCTCCTCAAAGGTAGAGACAGTGTTCTTCCCTCCTGGATCCCCAGCATCTGGGCACACTGTGTTGAATGAATGAACGAATGGATGTGGTCTGTCACAGGGTAGAACACCTGGCACTCAACGTGGTGCTGCAGCTGCTGGTGGGGGTGCCTCTGGAGATGGTGCACGGAGCGACCCGCATTGGGCTTGTGTACGTGGCCGGTGTCGTGGCAGGTAGGCCTGTGGGCCCCGCGTCCAAGGGGTAAGCCTCACCAGGTGGGCTGAGGGAGGGTGGGCCGTGGTCTGATGGGTGTGATCAGCCCCAGGCTTCCGGAGCGCACACAGGCTCCTTATCACCAAAGCTCCTGTCTCAGAGGCAGACCCTTCTGGAAGGCTGGAAGGGGACAGCCACCTGGAGCGGGAGGTGTGTCAGGGTAAAGGGGAGAGGGCAGGATTTGGAACTGGCTGACTGGCTTTCAGTTTCTGCCCTGCCATGTGGGAGCCACGGGAGCTCTGGGAAATCCCTGAACCTCTCTTGGTCCTATTAAGTTTGGAGAGGGAACTAATGAGATCTGCCTGTAGGGTCCCTGAGGGGCTGGAGTGAGGCAACAAATGGAATAAGGGTGCTGCATAATCTGCAAGGGTGCAGCCAGGTCACTGAGAGGGCATCGGAGGTGTGGGTAGAGGCGGCACCTGCCTGGCCAAGGTAGCACTTGAACCCAAAGGGAGGTCTTACCTCTTCCTGTACCAGCCACAGACCCCTTGACTGACCCACTGCAGACAGAAGAGTCTGGCCTTTGAGGCAGTGGCCCTCTGGAGGAGTCAGGCCTCTGCCTTCTTCCTATTCTGCCTGTGGGAGCAGGGACGGGGCAAAAGACTGGGGAGACCAGAGCTGATTTTTTTTAGGAACGGTTTCACCCATCTGGTTTCTGAACACAGGGATCTCCCTTGTGAAGTTTCCAACTTTATTGCTGGCTTTCTTTTCTTTTCTTTTTTAAACAAGTTTTGCCGCCTCAGCTCTTCAGCTTGACAGCTGTGCCCAGGGGAGCTTTGTGTGTATGTTTAAGTAAGATCTTAATCCTTTCTGAGTGGCATTAAAGTCGCCATCAGGAGAGTAGGGCAGCTTCAGCCTTGTAAACCACCGGCAGGCAGGGACCCTTGGTGGTGACTGATGTGGTCTTAGAAATTGAAGAGGGAAGGGTCCTAACCCCCACACATGGGGCTGGTCCTAGGAGATTCTCCCTGCACCATCTCCATCTCTCCTATGGGTGGCCAGAACCTTCGACCTTGGACAGCACCTACTGCCCTTCCCAGAATCCAGCAGCTACCAAATCTCTCACAAAGGCCATGGTGCAATTCAAGGACAGCCTTGGCAACTTAGCAAGACCCTGTCTCAAAATATAAAATAGAAAGGGCTGGGGGATGTGGCTCAGTGGTAGGGAGTCTCTGGGTGCAATCCCAGTACCCCCCCCAAAAAAAAGAGCCGATGAGTACCTCTATGTTCTAGACTTGTTCAGCCACCCACAACCCCCATCCTGACATCTGGGAATTTATAACCACTTTTTCCATACCCAGAGTCCCAGATGTTAAATGGAGAAGAACAGGGAAGACATTCGTAACACTTGCAGTTCGCAGTCAATTACATGGGAATGCCAATAACCTGGAAGACAGAAATAAGATTCAAAATGACTCAGACCTCACCCAAAACAGATGACACACGGTAGGAGACAGTGCGGAAATCACTTCCCAGTGATGTCACTGCAGAGTGGGAAGCTACACAGACTGAAGCACAGGGCTCATCAAGTAAATGTGAGGGTGTGGGGCTGTAGCTACCAGCCAAGGGCACGCCGTGTTCTGTCGGAGTCATTGATCCAGACCAAAGGGCATTCTGGTTGCCACGTATAGCTTGTGATTGATCTCCAGGATTGAGTTGATTGATCTGCCTGGGCTGTTCCCCCTCTTCCGCCTCCATTCCCCTCCTCTAAGAGGGAACCTTTTTGCAGATAGCTGGACTTCAACTGGATAGCCGGTAGTTATCAGTGCCTCCCATGTGAGGCTATAATTAATCCTCACAACCCACCCACACAGGGCAGGTACCAGGACTCTCCACCTGGTGCATACAGAAACCTCATTTTAGACTCCTAGGGGTGCAGCTCAGTGGTTAAAGTGTTTGATGTGTGGGCAGTCCCTAGAGGCTGAGGATATAGCTCAGTGGTAGAACACTTGCCTAGCATGCACAAGGCCCTGAGTTTGATTCCCCAGTATTGCAAAAAAGAACGGGGAAAAAAAATGTTTTAAAATAATATGTGGAAGGCCCTTGATTCAATCCCCAACACCAGAAAAAAAAATGAAGAAGCATAGATAAGTGACCCCCAAGAAGACACAGACTGCACATGGTAGAGCTGGGCTTACACCCTTTAAACACTACCACAGTATGAAGAGAACTAGAAGGTAGGCCTTGTCCTTTGTGCAGGTAATTTATTATCAGAAATCAAGGGCAAGCCCGCACGGTAGCTCAGGCCTGTAATTCCAGCAGTTTAGGAAGCTGAGGCACTAAGCAACTCAGTGAGACCCTGCCTCTAAATAAAATACAAAATAGGGCTGAGGATGGGGCTCAGTAATTGAGTGCCTCTGAGTTCAATCCCAGATACAAAAAAAAAAAAAAAAAGAAAGAAATCAAAAGAGGCCTTAAATAGGAATCTAGCCCTCCTCCCTAATGTCTCTAATTCCTGCTGAATGAAAGCATTCCAAACCCAAGGCCCTCTTGTTTTGTAACATGGAGGCTGACTTCTGGGGTGTACAGATGGTGCTCCAGCCAAGTGATACAGACTGTTGTTTATGTATGCCATCACCTGTATTCACAACAGTCCTGTGTTGTCACCCCTACGCTACCGGCAGGTCAGTGAGGTTAAATGGCTTATTCTATTTGCCAAGCTTAGAAGTAGTAGAGCTGGGGTGGAGCCCTGTGCTTCTAGCCAACATCTGACGTGAATATGTCACTTGTTTATGGCTAAGAATTATGGAGCTGACAGTCTAAGTACTTTGAAAACCAGTACTTTCGATACATCACCAACCTTTTATTATAGATTATATGGATTTTAAGCCACATGTGCATCCCCAGAGCCTGGCACCTGTTAGGCAATAAATATTTGTAAAGTAAATGAAGAATACATGAATACAGTTACATGGCTTAGGGGCTGGGGTCGTAGCTCAGTGGTAGAGTGCTTGCCTAGCATGTGTGAGGCACTGGGTTCCATTCTTAGCGCCACATATAAATAAACAAAATAAAGCTCCATTGGCAATTAAAAAAATATGTTAAAAAAAAAAGTTACATTGCTTAAAGGTAGATGTTCTGCCAGTTGTTGCTTGGATTGTTTTAATGGCCAAGGGAGATGCTGGAGAACACCTGCCTTAAAACTTTCCAGCCTAAATTACTGCACCTGTGCCTTATGGTGAGGTCACCATGGACCCAGAATGTTTTTTTGGAAAACACGTAACCCTGAGTAAAACCTGCCCCTTAATCTGCTGCGGTGTAGAGAATGGATGTCACTCTAGTTTGCAGTTCTTTCCCAGTCCTCTGTCCCCACAACCTCCTTGGAATTTGTACTGGCCTTATGAGCATGTCATCCATGAGGTTCACAGTGCTTATGAAGGAACCCTGCTTGGCCCTCATGTCCTGCCCCTGGTAGCCTTTATTACTTTATTTATATGCACACATCCCTGTGTTTGTGTTTGATGCCAGTCTCTCTATCCCTGGCTGATCTGTAGGAGCCTTAGGAAGGTCTGGGCAGGTGGGGCTAGGTAGTTACCTTCAAGGTTCCAGAACCATGATCTCAGCCTTGGTCCTGGATCTTGGGACAGACCTGGGATCATTGAATTTCCTCTCTGGAAGGAATGCTCCAGGACCCTCCAGTGGGTGGCAAGCTTTTCTATCCAGTCCCCACCCCATTCAGTCTAAGCAGTTCCCTCCATATGTTAGGGGACCCCTGGAAAGGTTTCTTTGGAAAAGGGGATTTTACTGCTTACAATTTGGAAAGCCTTAGACCTCACATTTTGTAAATGTGAAAACTAAAGCCCAGAGAATCCAGGGTCATACAGCTAGCCAGCTGCACCACTATCCCATATTCCTGCCACCATCCCAAATTGACCCCTGGCTCTGGGGTCAGCACTCTAAACCATGGGTTGGGTGAGGGAAAGGTCAGCATTGTGCAGGCTTGACCCTGGCAAGCGCCCTCCCATGCCTGGAGTTGCCCTGACTCCTGCCTCTGGGCCCCTGGTAGACCAGGCTGGGCGGGAGGAGAGAGCAGGTTTGCTAGGACCTGCGGGAGGAAAGGAGCCAGCCCAGGGAGGCTGGGGCTTCCTCTGTCCAAATGGTAATTAATGAGGAGCGGCTTGGGCAGCCAGCCCTGTGCAGCCCTGCAATGCAGCCTTCTCAGACGGTGCTCCAGAAGAGAGCGTGGGAATCCTTTGTCATGCAGATCCTGCTGCCTGTTTGTTTGCCACCCCGGGATTTTTCTTTCTTCCTTCTTGTTATATATGGCTGACCCCATAGCAAGGCCATTAAAAAAAGAAGACAACGAAGAAGAAAAAGAAAAGAAAGTTATCTGACAATAGATCAATACCTAATTAAAGCCGGAGGGAAGGCATGAAAGGCAGGAAGAAAGATTTATAGTTGCCCTGGGAGGGGAGAAGGACTTGGGAGTCCTCAGTTCAGGACAGTTTGGTCCTCCTCCCACCCCACCCCCCCAGTGATGACATCTCCCTTGAGACCAAGGAATTGGTAGTGGGGATTCCTTCCTTCCCTGAAGGATCTCAGTGAATGCAGGAGACTTGAGAGGGCTGGACAGAGGCAGGTGACCTGACCATGTCAAGGTCAGGCAGCTAGCTCTCTGTGTCCAGGTCCAGATGGTTGGGTGCCCTTGTTCCTGGGCTAGGCCCAGTTTTCTTCCAGAGGGATCCTCCACCCTATAGAGCCTGCAGAATTCCACTTTCTGCCAGTGCCCCCCTCTCTCCGGTGGCTAATTGGCTCATGAGCCTGCGGGCATTTTCCAGTGGTGATTTCTGCACACTCACCCAGGCCAGCCACAGCTCATCCTCTATGCCGTGGACTCTACCTCCTAGTTATTTTTAGTCTCTTGTGTCCTTCCCTGGAAGCCAAAGCATTGATCACACTTAAATGAGACCAGAACAATAAATTTCCCATCTCCTCTCTGCCTAGCTTCCCTCCTCCAGGACAAAAGTTTGTCATCCCCTAAACCAAGAGAACTGTAGACCTCCCTTTCCCCCAGAGAGTGTGACATCATCTCTTTTTCTTCCTGGGGGACTTTTCAAGGACATTTTTTCCTCCAGAGAAGCCCTACTTGGGAGATTCTGTTGGCCTTTTGTGATTTAGCTCAGCTGGAGAGAGGTGGGTGGTGAAGCTCTGCAGGTTTCTAGATGCAGCTCATTAGAAGGAGCCATGGGGAAGGCAGGGACAGCCTCTTGTACCAGGTTGGAGGGTGGCTGCCAAGAGCACTGGCTTTGGTCAAGACCACAGGTTTGGGGCTAGGACTGTAGGTCGATGGTGGAGTGCTTGATTAGTAGACATGAAGCCCTGGGTTGGATCCCCAACACTGCAAAAAGAAGGAAAGAAAGAAAGAAAGAGGAATACGGGTTTTGGGTTTTGTATCAGGCAGACCTGGCTCAAATCCTGGGTCCAGCACTTCCCACCAGGGGTCTCTGGGCTCAGAGCCTTTCCTCATCTCTAAAGCGAGGTCATTAGCACCTGCATCAAAGGGTGGTCTTCAGGGTCTGACCCAGTGTTCACTGCAGGGCAGCTGTTTCCATGATAACTGCTGTTATTGGTTTCACTGCTGTTCCCAACCCCAATGCCACCTCAGTGTTAGGCAGAGGCTAGGATGAGAGGCAGGTGATACGGGTTGTAACCCAAGTTCCATCTTGGGCAGGTCACCTCCCTTCTTGGAGTCTTGGTTTTCTATCTGTAAAATGAATAGGCTGAACCAAGTGGTCTTTTCGGCCATAAACCAATCCTCTGGGAAATCCATAGGAGGCTCCAAGGCAACCTAGTATCAGGAAGAGGACATGGAGCCTCTTGCTATAGGGTCTTCCTGCCCAGGCAGCCGACTTGGAGGGCCAGGGCCGGGGTGGGCAACCGAGTCCAGCATTCTTACGAACTCCTTCTCTTTTTCTGAACCAGGGTCCTTGGCTGTGTCTGTGGCTGACATGACTGCACCGGTAGTGGGCTCTTCCGGAGGGGTGTATGCCCTCGTCTCTGCCCATCTGGCAAACATCGTCATGGTGAGACCCTTCTGCTCCCACATGTCTCCCTTCCTCTCCTCTGCTGCCACTGGACCTGGCCATTAATCCACTGGAGCTGGCCCAGCCCAGACCTGTCAAGTGCCAGCTGGACGGGAGCAGGGTTCACAAACACCCTTCCCCCTCCACAGGCCCATCTCAGTGGAGTCCCTCCCATACCCATTTATATTTTCTCCATAGCTTTGCCTTGGCCTATGAATGTACCCAACTCTTTCCCATTCAGTGACTTAGAAAAAGTGTTAAAATTTGGCCACTACTGTGTACAATCTTTGGAATGCCTTGTTTGTCAAAAGTTCGTTAAAAAGTCAAAGGGCCTTAGAGATTATTTCTCCAAAAGTATCAAATAGGAAAAGAGGTTCTGAGAGGTTAAGTGATTTGTCCAAAGTCATAACCAAATTGGTTGCAAAAACCAAGACTTGAAGCCACATCTCCTGACAGCCAATCAAGTGTTGCTCCCCTGTGCCAGCCCTTCATGTGGTGAAGCACCCTTCCGGTTCCCACTCTCTTCTGCCTCTTCCTGAAGGGCAGTGCTGTGTGATGGGTAAGAGGAGGGGCTCTGGAGTCAGACAGCCTGGATCTGACTCCCAGCGACCCACTTCCTAGAGGGTGACCTTGGGCAACTTATTTAATCTCTTTGGGCCTCGATTTCTATGTCCATGGAATGAAATGATACATAATAAATGAGGTAAAGTAAGAATAAGCAGGCTGGGGATACAGCTCAGTTGGGTAGAGTGCTTGCCTTGCATGCACAAGACCCTGGGTTCAATCCCCAGCACCACACACACACACACACACAAAAAGAATAATCACTGAAAATAAATGTTAACCTAATGTCGCCATTCCTCCTGGAAGAGGTTCAGACTAGACTCAACCTGCAGGGCAAGAAATTGGGAAGAGCCTGAGAGAGGTTGTCCAAGCCCCTGTGTGGAGGACATCTGAGTTTGGAGGTGGAAGGGAGACTCCCTGGCCGGGCTTGGCTGCCCTGCCCCACGCCCTGCTGCCCCAATACCTGCAGGCCTTATGCATCTATTTCCGCCCCCTGTACCTGGCCCAGGGCTGGGTTCATGCTTTAGATGGCACCTGCTAAATTTTTGGTGAAGGAAGGAATAATATCCAGAAAAGGCTTAGCCTCCCTCTGGGGCCCTCGGGCACTCGCCTTGTCCTTCATCACCATCTCCCCGTATGACAATCGTGTGACTGCTCAGTTATAGCAGTTTGGGACATTCTTAAATTCACGTTTTCTTCTTGATTTGTCCTGTTCTTACCTTCCCTACTCGCAACACCACCCCTTCTTTTCCCACCACTGTCTCCTTTGTAAGTGGAGAGGGTGGGGGGAGGCAGAGGGAGAGGGAGGGAGCCGGACTGCTCTTGCTCTTGGCCTGGATTCTGGCAACTTCCACTTCCCGTGAGTGCTGTGAGTGCTCAGAGAGAGGCCCTGGGTGTGGGAAGCATGCGTGAACGGGAGAGCCTGGAGAGTGTGTGTCGGTGCACGTGTGTTCACACAGCTCAGTCTGCAGAAAGCCCCAGAGCACAGGGCTGCCTCACATGGCCCTTTTAAATGGGTCATTCTGTATCAGTGCCACATCTTTCCCCAGACACAGCTCTTCCTCTGAATTCGGCCTCCTCCACTCCCCCGCCCCCTGCCCCAATTCCTCTCCGTGGGGGAGGACTGACCTCCTCCCTCCCACTCCCCCCAAGATGTGGCTGTAGCTGCGCATGGGGGCTGAACAGGCAGGACTGGAGAACATGGGAAAGAAGGAGCAAAGAGGAGTTGGAAAGCCTCATGGGAAACAGCCCTGGTGCCTCAGCAGTTCCCATGGTGAGCACTGCCCACCCCTGGACCACAGGACAAGGCCGAGGGGTCCAGGGAGGTGTGAAAGTAGTTTTGTTCCAGTTTATGCTTCTTTCTGGCAAGTAGCCCAAAGCTGGTGGCTGTGGAGATGAGCAGTCCCATCTGAGAACCCAGTGTCTTCCCAGAAGGAAGCAGCTTTCCCAGCCACCTGGGAGCTTTGTAGGCCCTTGAGTCTGGCATGTGGGGAGCCTTCTCTAGAAAGTCATGTGATGCTTGTCCATGGTGAAAAAACTAATTTACTCACTAGAAAGGTCACTTTCTCCTTGGTCAAGGGACATTCTTTGCCCAAATTAGCTCAGTACTGAGCAGTTCAGAGGTGCATTGGGTCAACCCATTTGAAATTGCCATTTCTGTGGCCCCGGAGCTTTTGAACATTGGCAATTTCATATGGTTCAACTTAATAAATATACTCTTGCTTTTAATTCTGAAATGAAAATTTGGAATATCTGTGCCTGTGCACAATAAAGTCCCTCATCACAACAGAAGACAAAAAGATATGGATTTGACAGAAAATCTGGTTTAGGGGCTGGACATGTAGCTCCGTGATAGAGTGCTTGCCTAGCATGTGCAAGGCCCTGGGTTTGATTCCTAATGCTACAAAAAAAAAAAAAGAAAGAAAAGAGCTGGGTGCAGTGCCACCCACCTGTAATCCCATCTACTCGGAAGGCTGAGGGAGAAGGATCACAAGTTTGAGGCTAGCCTCAGCAATTTAGAGAGACTCTGTCTTAAAATTAAAAAGGACTGGGGATGAAGCTCAATGGTAGAGCACTTGTCTAGCAAGCACAAAGTCTTGGGTTCAATCCCTAGATCCCCAGCGGCTATGAGATCCTGTGTGTGTGTGTGTGTGTGTGTGTGTGTGTGTGTGTGATTTCTCTATTAATTCTGCCAGCTATTTATATAAAGAACAATCAGAAAATTATTCTTTTGGCTTCAGATACATCTTAGAAAAGTGTCTGGCACTTCTGTTCTCAGGACCATTTAAATAAGAGAATCTGCCTTAAATTAAATTACATTTTATTTTTCCTAAAAACACATTGAGTTTCAAAAACCTTGCAGTTTACATCAAATAATTAAATTCAGAAAATATTTCAACAAAAGATCTGGGTTGCAAAATCACTCGCTATTAAGACTGCTAAACATTAGAAATATAAAGATCTGCCTAACTGAATAATTTATTAATTGCCTCCTGCTGGGGCCCATAGGCCAGAGATACATTTTTAAATATACAAGATATTTACTTGCCCTTTGCTCTATATGTTAGATGCTTTCCTAACACAGTTGAGATCTGGATTTATGCACATTGTTCCATGTGGTGGAAGCACAAGGAAAAATATTTATCTGGAAGACACAGAAGATTTTGGCTCTAAGGTTTATGTTTAAAAGTAAAAACCCTTTTGTAGAGCTGATGATCACTCCCAGTTTTATCTGTAACATGTTTATATGTTTCCTGTGTTGGAATTTCTTCTTCTTTTTTTTAGTTGTAGATGGTCACAACCCTAACCCTTTATTTTATTTATTTTTATACAGTGCTGAGAACCCAACTCAGTGCCTCACACCTGCTAGGTCAACAAGGCCTTACCTCTGAGCCACAACCCCAGCCCCAGGGGATTTCTTTAAGTCATTTGATAAGAAACTTTCTACCAAGGATACATAAAGCTGATTTGAATGGAAGCTCCCTGACTGGATTTCCATTTCTGTGCTCTTTTATTTAAATAAAAAAAAAATATATATATATATATATATATATCTATATATATATAT